TATTATTATTATTCAGTGACCACAACAGACAGCCACCGCGGCGTCTAGGTTAGGGTTCTGGACTAGATCCAAGTTCCCATGGAGCCTTGAAACAGAGTAAGTAGCCATGGGCCAGTCCACCTCTCTCAGCCTGACCTACCTCACAAGGCAGTTGTGAAGATAAAGTCAAGAGAGTGCAAGGCACACACACACACAGTCTTGAAGCCATTAGAGGAGAAGGAGGTGTACGAAGGTAACTTATATAAAAAGAGAGAGGTTACTTACCTGTAACCAGGGTTCTTCGAATGGTCCTCTGTGAATCCGCATGAATGGGTTAAACTGCGCCAGCGCAGGGCTCTTCGGAATATTCTAGAGCAGGCTTGTCCAACCTCTGGCCCGAGGGCCATATGCAGCCCAGGTCAGATCGTAATGCAGCCCAGTGCAATTTTTTATTTTTAAAGAAATTCCAAAGTTTCAAGTTACACTGCCGGCACTTGCGGCCAGAATGTGGCTGGGGCATGTCGCAACGGTAGGGGGGGAGAGAGGGAAGGAAGGAAGGAGTGGGAGGCGAGGGGAGAAGGGGGTTGCGTGACAGCATTGTGCCATCCCCATCAATAGGTGGACCCCCTCCCGGACCCATAAAGCCACCGGAGTTGAAGCTGGCAGCCTCTGCTGTCTGAGATCGCAACTGCCGGTAAGCACGCTTGGAGCGGGGCTGCAGAGGATGGCTAGGGCTGCCCCCCCCCATGCGGCCCAAACCAAATGTATGTGCAGCCCAAACCAAATTTTCTTCTTCTAATGTGGCCCAGGGAAGGTGAAAGGTTGGACACCCCTGTTCTAGAGCTAAAATAACTGACCAATAGAATGTGTCCCCGTGTTGCACATGACTTATTAATTACAAATTCATCTGAAAATTACAAAGCTCTAGACAACCCGTGACGGACAGTGGGGAGGGTTGGTGCGGGACTTTGAGTGGATTCACAGAGGTCCACTCGAAGAACCAGGGTTACGGGTAATTAACCTCCCTTTCTTCTTCGTGGCCTCTGTGAATGCACACAAATGGGTGACTAGCAAGCTCCGCGCTAGTCACCCAAGCATTCGTGGGCATTCACGGAGACCACGAAGAAGAACTGAATAACTGGAACAGCACGAGAGAGTAGCAACTTTTCAGGTTTCTCTTTTTGTTTGCTGGCTCCTCGATCCTTTTTTTTCCCCAAATGATATCATCTCACCGAACAACTGTAGGGAATAACTCTGCAGAATACACAAAGGACACCGTGAAGGAACTCGAAATGGTGAACTTCCCAATGATGGCCAACACGGTTGTTATCACAGGCAAGTCTGGGAAGAAAAGCAGATCCTGTTTTTTTTTTAAAAAAGCATCCGCGCAAATACAGACATCCAAACACAAATAAATGAGAGACCGGTGGCAGGTGTTCACAAAATGGCGGCCAAATCTCATCAAGGCATCAAGCACTTCTAAGCAGCGTGATGGGTGAGCCAGGGCTCACTGAGTTGAAGCAGTGGAACCAAGATGATCCTATGGTTGGGTAGATGATGCACCCATGCCCCAAACCACTGATGTTCCTTTGGGTCATCATCAGCATGATATCGAACAGAGGTGTAAAACCACCAAGATGATCCTATGGTTGGGTAGATGAAGCACCCATGCCCCAAACCACTGACGTTCCTTTGGGTCATCATCAGCATGATATTGAGCAGAGGTGTAGAACTCAATTTCTTCTTGGGCTGCATCGGCATTATGGTTACCCTCAAAGGGCCAGTTGTATCTGTAAGACTTTATAAATGTATCTACTCTTTATCATATTAAATATAATCCTCCTCATTCAATTATTACTTTCTGACTCTTCGCTGCTTAGAACGCTGGGCAGATTCCTAGCATCCTTGTAAGCACTATGAGTGACCAAGTCAATGCCTGCGTATTGTATACCACACAGTAGCAGGCAACACTACGAGGGCCACATGAAATGGCCCGGTGGGCCAGATTCGGCCAGCGGGCCTTGAGTTTGACTCATGTGGTATAGAGAGTTCTTTGACCATGTCAAAAAGGAGGTTGAGCAGCCATCTCAACAGGTTGGCTGTCACAGTATTAACCAACACTGGCTAGGACCTTTCAATTACAGTGGTGCCTCGTTTGACGACGTTAATTCGTTCCAGCGAAATCGCTGTAGAGCGAAAACGTCATAAAGCGAAATAAAAAAGCCCATTGAAATGCATTGAAAACCGTTCAATGCGTTCCAGTGGGCTGAATGCCTCAGCGTCCAGCGAAGATCCTCCATAGGGCGGCCATTTTCAGGTGCCTGTCTTGCAAAAAATGCCTCCTAAAAACAGCGGGGAGCCATTTTGGGCAGCCGATGGACATTTTGAAAACCTGACGATTAGCTGTTTTGATCGTCGTAATACAAAGAATCAGTTGTGAAGCAGATTCGTCGTTATATGGGGTAATCGTTAAGCGGGGCACGACTGTACTTGAACAACTGTTCAGCCTCCCTTCAGGCTTCTTTATTCTCTCTGAGCTTCAGTACAATTTTCAGAACAGCTGAGAAGGTAACATATTGCCAGCAACACTATTCAGAATGGGACATGTTACTTTTTAAAGTCATTCTCTCCTGTTTCTTGCTGCACTGTCCAAAAAAGTAATCAACTATTGTTGTCTGGACCAGGAAAGTAATGCACTGTGTGGAGATAAATCCAGTCAAGATCTGTGTCACTGGGATTATACCATAGCAGAAATCCTGTTTGCATGACTATGGCTGTGGAAGGCTGATTATGTCATCACCGGGAGGCAGTTTTTGAAAATTAAAATATATTTCTTTTTGAGGCAGTGATTTCCAATAATTAAAGATTTCCTCTCATGTCCCACAGCTCCCACACAATAGCTGGGAGAACGGAAGGACAGGAAACAGGAAGCATTTAATTTCTGCACATCACCCCCTGCTGATGACCTCAATAGCTTTCCACTGATGCCATGTGAGCAGGATTTCAGTTTATACACCACAAATTAGGCATCGCTTGAAATCCTGCCAGTGTTGTTGAGTTGCGATTCCAGAATATGTTTAGGACTGAGCAACCATGCTTGCTAAAATGCCCGTGTTTACCTCCTGATGACCAATCACAAAACAAAATAAGCTAATTTGCAAGCTGTGGGAGATACGAAAAGCTCCTGCTGCAATAGTCAGATGTTCTCAGCACTTAAGAAATTCTTTCTTCTAATGATCTGTTATCTGCAATGTATCCTCTGCCCGCATGTTCCCATTTGTGCCAAGAATATACCTGATGGTGCGTACCACCAGCAACACAAAGATCCGCAGCTTAGCACAAAAACTGCATGCTCAAGAGAGAAAGCCCGAGTCTTGCTGGATTGCTCCATGCAAGTTACCGACTGATTCGTACCTTTCGGAATGACAGTGATAAGAAGGCAAGCCACTCCGCCCAGGAGCAAGCAGAAAGCCTGACACTTCCTTCTCCCCAGCCACTGAACCAGGAGGAGAGTGGCGATACGACCTGGTAGTTCAGCAGCTCCAAAGACAAACTGTGCCAGATAGATATCTAAACCAAAACTACCCACGTTCAGGCTTAATCCGTAGTAAGCCAAACTGTTTGCAAACCTAGAGGGGAAAAAAAAAAGACAGATCATCTTTACAAATGCAGTTAGAATGAACAATATGGGCTATAAACCTATTGCTAGTCACAACCAGAGTGGACCCATTTACTGGAATGGGTCATTGATTCAGACAACACAATCCTGTTGCTTAACATAGTACAGTAGGACCTCGATGCTGAAAAACGCAGCTTATAGAGAACACTGTTTTAATAGCAAAAGGCATACATAGCATGATCTCTGGCTCCCCCTAGTGGCCAGTTCTGGAAACTTCACCTTTAGAAATACCTATTTCAAGGATTTTTCTTTTAATAGGTTTAGTATTTTCAGACTGCAGATAGGTGAATCAGCGGATACTAAGCCCATGGATACGTGGGTCCTCCTCTAAATCCCACTAAAGTAGGCCAACTGAAACAACGGGGATTTAATAAGTCAACTCTTCCATACATTTCATAGATTCAAATGGACCTAGTCTAACGGTGCTTTGCTACGCTGAAGTCAACAGCTGATAAAGGAAGCCCATTTGAATCCATGGAACTTACCAAGAAGTTGTCTCACCACATACCCATTGTTTCAATGGGCCTACTCTACTGGAATTTACAACACTAAGCAACAGGATTTTAGCCAACAAATATTGAACCGTTGGCTTCCCACTCCCCAAGACAACACCTGGGCAACTCTGAAGTGACTATTTGGACAAAGAAAGATTCTAGTCCTCAAAAGAACTGAATAAAAATTTTCAAATGTGACTTTAAAATATGCGATATTGTTCATGAAGACAAAGGGAGGGGAAGGGGCATTGATCCATTAGCAGCTGATAGAAGGATACATCAATGAAATCAAGCCACTGACTTGTCTACTACAGTGGTGCCTCACTAGACAGTTACCCCTGCATGACAGTTTTTTCGCTAGACATTGGCTTTTTGCAATCGCTATAGTGATTCGCAAAACAGTGATTCCTTTCACTGGACAATGTTTGGTCCCTGCTACGCAAAACGATTTTCGCTGGACGACAATTTTGACAGCCCCCTCTGTGCTCGCTAACAGGTGTTTTCGGGACCTAAGCTTCGCAAGACAGTGATTTAAACAACTGATCGGTGGTTCGCAAAGCGGCTTTCCTATGGCCGATCTTCGCTAGACAACGACGATTCTTCCCCATTGGAATGCATTAAACAGGTTTCAATGCATTCCAATGGGAAAATGCTTTTCGTTAGACGATGATTTCGCTAAGCAGCTATTTCAGTGGAACTGATTATCATCGTCTGGCGAGGCACCACTGTAGTACGTTAATGGTTACTCTGAGTCGGCTGGAGCCCTGACTCCTCCTTACACCTGCTAACAGAGATTATAGAAAACTGGTTCATATCAGGGGAGATAATTGATGCTCTGACCTAACGGGGCCTAAATAGATCAGCAAGAATGACGATTGCAGGAGAAGTGGTGTCTCCTAAGCCATATTTAGATATATGAGGTCTTGGGTCTGGAATTTCTGGTATTCAATCGAGGTCTTCTAGGACAGCAGTCAGAGTAAAGGCGTAGGAGCAACTAACCAGATGGAAGACATAACAAGGACCCGCTTCCGAAGGTGGGGATTTCCAAAAAGTTCCAGAATACTTTCAGATTCGTTCTTCTTTTCAGGCTTCAGCTTTTACACCCGAGGGAAGCAAGTGAAAATACATAGAGGAACACAAAAGTGGGTGGGGGAATAATGGAGAATCAGCTGCAGTTTCTCATTCTCTGTATTCACCAGCTTCAGTCTAATTGTACACGTCTGCTAAAAACACTCCAGCGGGCTACACAGATCTACACCAAATTTACACACTCTTCAGTCACCTCCATCTCTAAGTAGAGCAGCTTTGAACATTTATTCATTTATTATTTAGATAAAAGATTTTACCCCCTGAAAAAAAGATAGAAGGAAGCTTCCATTTTCTTTTTTTTTTTTAATTAAAAGCTAATATCTGTATCTGCCACCCTCTCAGGGTAAGAAAGACTTAAGGAAACAAATCTTCTCTTGCCTCATTCACACACATTCCACATGTATCTGACCCTCATTCATTCTCCTCCAGACTCTCCCACGTGTAAGAACGAGAAATTGCGAAAAATGTGGTTCCTCAGCAGCGAAAGGTCAAATCGTTTTATCTCAGTCTCAAGCAGAGTCCTCACCGTTGCTATTACAATTTTTTGTTCAAAAAATACAAATTACTCAGAAGGACTCTACCCGGTGACGTCTAGCATGGATTTTTAAAAATAAGAAGCACTGAATGGTTTGTTTGTGTCTTTTTGATCAATCCCGGACTCTCTTACCTGATCTAGCAGTTCTGGCGAGAGGGTTCGTTTATTCACGGCAGCTGCCTTTTGAAGGAGGATTTTAGCTTCTTCTACTTTCCCTTTTGTAACAAGCCACCGTGCAGATTCAGGAAGGGTCCTTTAAAAAAAGAATGTGCAAGCAAACAACTTCAGTAATGCATGGATTATATACTTCCTTTTAAAAAAAGAGTTCAAAATGTTGCATTCTAAAAGGAACCTATTGCTTTACTCTTTACTTCTGAACAGCCAGATTGCTGTAATTATCAATGTTCCGATGACCCAACTAATCTGCAGAATTGAGATTGTGTTACCTACAAGCCAGAAAAAAATGCAAGGAAATAACTGCTAGTTCCCCCTAGTGGCTAATTCTAATATTACAGCTTTGAAATATTTATTCAAATACAAGACACAAAACTGCACAATAACTCCTTCTTACTTAGGATGGTGAGTGATAGAAGGAGGATTATGGGTGTCGGAGTCCAACCATGTACCGTCTCATGCTCTGGAGATGGATGGCTTCCAAAACAAATTGTAATTGTTCCACCAAATTCCACCAAACAGTTAGTACAGGAATTAGTCCTGATGTAGAATCCAGGTTAAACACCAAAGTACTGAAGTTTGCAAGGGTGCCAACGCTATTTAAAAGGAGAGAGGGTAAGGAGGTGGAAAGTGTGATGAATCTCTGAACGTCTGGACAATAAACGATCTATGACCATTAGCTGCAGAAGATGTCTGATTCTGAGGGGAGGGACAGATGCAGGAGATTGAGCAGAACAGAGTCCGTTGAAAGACTGCTTGGTTGTCACGCTGTACATGCACTCCATTCCTGTACGGCTGTCACGCTGTACACCAATGCTGCGCATTTCAACATTTTATAACTGGTCATATATTCTTATCTATTACTCACCACAGAAAAAAACACAGAGTGAAGATTGGGGTGGAAATGGAAACCTGAAGAAACTTCCAGTCCCGAACGGCATAAGCCAGGCCCGCCAGAATCATCTGTCCGACAGAAAAGGCCGCATGGTTGATGATTACCATGAACGGACGATGCGAAATCCCAACCCATTCGGCCCCTGTGAGGTATTAGAAACAAGTGATGTAGCATACTATCCTACCACTTTTCCATTGCTCACATGTAACTCTGGCCACTGCCAGCATAAAAAAACCTTCCTTTTTGAACAAAATCAAATAGATGCACGAGGATCGATTTTTACTGTTGTTATTACTACCGAGTATGTATTTCAAAACTATCGTTATTACCTTGCCTTTCCCCCCTTAAAACAAGGCATCATACAGGTAAAATTTAATGATTTAGGAACAATACAAGCCACCTACAAGATAAAACAATAACTGCTTCCTGAGAACAATTGCTATATATTGAAATGTGCAGGTTTTTATTTAAAATTGCCTATCTACTTCCTATTAAATATGGGGAGTAGGGAAATGATTTAGCGTGGATTTGCATGTACACGTATCCAACCCAGAATTGATGTCACCGAGGGCGTTAAAAAGATGCTCATCCTATATTATAGATAAATTGCAGGTAGGAAGAAACAGGAGCCTACGTACAGGAAACGTATTCATGCTCTGGATTTTCTGCATCGAACAGCAAGTGGCCTCCAAAGCTTCTTCCAACTCTACAATGGCAAGAGAGCTCCCCACACTGACTCAGAGAAGAGACTCGGGCTTCCCAATATAGGGCATCCTTTGCAGAACGAAAACCAGAGATTCGCCCTTTGCAATCTTCAACCTAAAGGGTCAAGTGAGAGATGGGAACATAGGGACGTGTGGGAAGGGACCTGGAAGGCCTGTTAGCCATCAGAAAAGACCACTCTGGGCTAAATGGACAAATCTGACTGGAGGCAGCTTCTTAAGAGCTAAACCCAACAGTGAACTCAACATAACATACTGGTAAGCCAATATACCTGTTGACTTATGAAATTTAATTCATCGGAGGAGCCTACACTAATTGGGGCCAACAGTGAGGGTTATCCCTGTGTTATTTCAGGGAATATACTGCCCAACATGGCCATACGTGCTCAGATGTAACATTTTCAGATTCTGGCCTATGTCATTCTTAGTCAGATCCTACATACTAGCCTTGGATGACACCAGAACTGAAACAACAGCTTTTCCTTTTATCCTTTACACAGCCCTTTGTGGTTCAAATGCTTCCCCCGGAAGATTGGTTAGAGCTCTGTGTAAGGGCATGCAAGCGTGCGTGCAAGTATGTGGTGGCTTACCCAAAGCTAGAAGGCTGATGCCGATCCCTGAAATCGCACCGCCCACTAGAAAGCGAAATGCGCTGTAGAGGTAGATGTTCGGAACAAAAGCCGTCGCGACCCCAGACGTGCCTTCGAGGAGCATGCACAGCAAAATAATCGGTCGCCGTCCAAACCTGGAGGAAAGACACATTTTGCCATGGCGCCGGTTACTCTGAACTTCTTTATCCAAGACTTCAATGCAGGAATGAATGCAAGCATCGCTAGCTGTACAAACTCCCAAAGTTCGAGTCAATGCCATCTCCAATTAGGTTCATTATAAAATTAATACAATAGGACCCCGTTATCTGCGGGAGATTGGTTCCAAGCCTCCCCCCCCCTCCCCCGCTGATGCTGATGAACACAGATCATAGCAAACAGTATGATAGGAGTTCCAGATCTGGCTACAGTGACACATGCCTTAGTTATTTACCGTTTAGATTACTCTAATAGGAGTTCCAGATCTGGCTACAGTGACACGTGCTTAGTTATATACCGTTTGGATTACTCTAACGCACTCTACGTGGAGCTGCCTTTGAAGAAACTTCAGCTGGTGCAAAACTCTGCAGCCAGACGACTGACTGGGGCCAGCTACAGGGAATCTATAATGCACCGGTTTCAAGAACTGCACTGTCTACCAGTCCGTTTCTGGGCCCAATTCAAAGTGCTGGTCATTATTTATAAAGCCCTCTACAGCTTGAGTCCAGGCTACCTGAAGGACCGTATCTCCCTATAGGCACCTTCTCAGAGATTAAGATCAGCAGAGGAGGCCCTCCTCTCCGTCCCATGCCCAGCGCAAGCCCAGCTGATGGGGACACACGAGGGGGGGCCTTCTTGGTGGCAGCTCCCAGGCTATGGAATGCTCTCCCTTGGGAGATCACGATGGCCCCTTCTCTTTTATCCTTCCAGGAGGAAAAAAAAGCTAAAGACCCATCTCTTCAGGCAGGCTTTTAACAGTCACAACTGAATCCCTGAACCCCATTTTAGTAGGTAAAATGATTCCTGTTGATGAACCTCACAGCCATCAGGTGAAAAAATTCCCAGTCGCCCTTACTTCTAACTAACCTAGCAGCCATATAGCCTTATCTCTGAAAGAGTTTTGGAGTCATTTTCCTTTTTTAAAAAATGTGTTTTTTTTCACCCCTCAGCCTCAGTGCCTTCCCACCAACCAAGGTCTCATCATGCCTGTCATTCCCCCCCCCCAAAAAAAACCTTCCTCTCTTACCGGTCACTTAAAGGGCCAAACACCATTGATCCCACAAGGAGTCCAAGCATGTAAATGGATTGTGAGATGTTCTTCAAATCCCTCCTGTCGCATACCAAGTCAAACTTAAGGAAAGAGGGGGAGAAAAGACACTTTATTTAGAGGGGGTGGAAGAGAGCCATTAAATAACTAGGGACAAGCCCTAGTAGAAATGCAGTCCAGCTTCCACACGAAACTAACTACGCACACAAACCTGGAGCAAGTCCTTTGGCTTTCCACTTAGGCAGGGCTCAGCAGAACTCAGCCTCAGAATCCCAGGGCTGTAGAAATAGGAGGTACCCCAGAGGTCATCTAGTCAATCCCCACCAATGTAGGAATCCACAATGTAAGCCATTGCTGAAACATTCCAGATATAGTCGTGCCCCGCTTAACGATTACCCCGTATAATGATGAATCCGCTTCACGACGATGTTTTTGCGATTGCAATTGCGATCGCAAAATGATGCTTTGATGGAGTTTTTTTGCTTTGCGATGATCGGTTCCCTACTTCAGGAACCGATTCTTCGCATTACAACGATCAAAACAGCTGATCATTGGGTTTTCAAAATGGCCGCCAGCCCCCCCCCGCTGTTTTCGCTTAACAGGCACCCAAAAATGGCTGCCGTATGGAGGATCTTCGCTGAATGATTAGGTATTTCGTCCATTGGAATGCATTAACCAGTTTTTAACGCGTTTCAATGGGTTATTTAAAATTTCATTTGACGACATTTTCGCTCTACAGTGATTTCACTGGAACGAATTAATGTCGTCAAGCAAGGCAGCACTGTAGGTGGCTATCCAACTGCAACCATCTTTTGAGACAGTTATAGAAACATAGAATCACTGTACTGTACACACGGTAACTATAACAATAACTGCAAAGTTACAGTTACACCTGATATCACTTATGTACACACTGTAACCATAAAAACCACAGTCCACAATGTAAGCCCAAAGGAATTAATTACAAGTGACTCATTATTTGTAACTAGTTCCTTCCAAAATTTCATCCTTGGTCATTTATGATTTTTGGCTCCTTTTTAAGGAAGTTCAAATGCAAGAACAGGTGAGACCTTTATAGGACACTAATAAAAAACAAAAAACAAAAAAAAATCATGTGCCGTGTGAGCTTTCGTGGGTAAATCCCACATCTTCAAAGCTAGCACCAGAAGTCCAAACATTGGTGGCACGAGGGGTTTTCCCTGGAGGTTACTCTTAGACGTAAAGTTCTTGAAAAGCTATCCTGTCTCAGTCGTTTCAAATAGAGGACAGCTATTTTGGTCAGTTGAAACCACTTAAATGTTAACATTATTAACTGGCAGGCTTCCAGTTTTCCTTTTCGGGTCTCAGCTTTGCTGTTTCAATTATTGCTGATGTGTAGGAGAACCTGGCACTTTGCAGGCCTCTGCTCTGCTTAGCCACATGGAACAGATTAACCTTGGTTGACATCTTGACACGCTCAGTGTCCCTGCACAGAGGCTCTTAATTAATATGGAAAAGTCAGCAGTTTTTGCAAAGCAATCCAGTCCTGGAAAGATGAGAGCTTGCAAAAGCTACTTTTGCCACCCTGGGTCTTCCCGTTCTTGCTGGGAGATGATGGGGGTGGTCCTGTGGAACTCCTTGCCACAAGAGGTGGTGATGGCATCTGGCCTAGAGGCGTTTCGAAGGGGATGGGAAAGATTCCTGGAGGAAAAAGTCCATCGCAGGTGACATGCCGTGACAGGGATGTACAGTGTAATCTCCAGGCTTAGAAGGAAGGCACCTCCAAATGCCAGATGCAGAGTACTTGGTTTGCCATGTTGATCTTATTGATATTACTCTCAGGATTTGAGACTTTTATCTTCTTGCTCCACTTAGTAAAGGGGCATTTTCAATGACTTTCGGAGCTTTTCTTGACCCTCCTATTTAATTTTAGTATTGCTTTGTTTCCCGGTGTATATGCATGTGTTAAATCTGTTGCTCTTCCCATTTGAAAATGATCTCCAGGGACAGTGTTCCCATGAGTACTCTTAAATTTATGTTTTCAATATTGTCTTGAAAAATCCCCCAAAGAGAAATAACTTTTTAAAAGGACGTTTGAGTGAAAACCCTGAGCTGCAACGCCTCTTCACGAAAAAGCGGCCATTCACATTGTAACAGTAGGACTCGGATTGAAGAAGAGGTTTTAAAAAAATGCAGGGGCTGTATCACAGAGACGATGTGTCACTGTCTACATGACTGCCAGCTTCAGTCTGGGTGTAATAAGACTGAGATATGTTCTTTGCAAAGCTAATGTAAACACTGCTAAGGCCAACTGTATGAACTGAACATGTTGGAAGCATCCAAACTGCTTAAAAATACGACATACAGTGGTGCCTCCCTTAACGATTGCCCCGCATTATGATGAATCCACTTTACGATGATCTTTTTGCGATTGCAATTGCAATCGCAAAACAATGGTCTAAATGGGGGAATTTCGCTTTGCGATAATTGGTTCCCTGCTTCGGGAACCGATTCTTCGCAAAATAATGTTTTTTTAACAGCTGATCGGCGGCTTCAAAATGGCCCCCCACTGTTTTCTAGGGATGGATTCCTCGCTATACAGGCAGCGAAAATGGCCGCCGTATGGAGGATCTTCGCTGGATGGTGAGTTTTTACCCCATCGGAACACATTGAACGGATTTCAATGTGTTTCAATGGAGTTTTTAATTTTACTTTACGATGTTTTCGCTTAACAGAGATTTTCCTGGAACAGATTATCGTCGTTAAGCGAGGCACCACTGTACTGCATATTGACAGCAGTGATGGCACTCGGGTGAAAGGAGCTATGCTTCCCCCCCATCATAATGTATTCACAAGGGGCCGGCCCTACCATTAGGCAGAGAGAAGCTAGAGACTGGTGGTTAGTACTAGCAGCCATTCTTCCCATGTCTACCCTCTTTCTGTTGGAGGAAAGAACCGTATAGGTATGGGACCTCCTCCGTAACCCCTAAACCAATCTGGATAGTTCAGTGGCGTACGTTGGGTGTTCGATTCCCCCACGGTGCCTCCTTGAAAGGGTCTGGACTCAGTGATCCAGAGGGTCCCTTCCAGCAATTCAAAGGTTAAAAGGTTTCATATTTTGACATCGACTCCCAGAAATGTGTTATCACCCATTTTTGGACTCTTGGTCTACCATTTTTCTTCACATTCCATTTTTCTGCACAATCCATGAAGGGGTTGTGCTGGGCCTGAAGAAACGGAATTTTCTCCACAAAATCTTCCAATTTGTTTGAGTCTTTGGTGGTCCCATACAAGGTATCCCCCGCTCTTACGTCTGTATAAATGACCACAGGGCCTTCTCCTTGTACTTTCAAGTACTTGAAAGAAACAAGAGACACAACAGCTTTGCATTTTACCAGATTCGGATTGTTTATACCTCAAGATCTTTCCATCTCAAATACAGTACGACGAAAACCTGCAAATTTCAGGAAATTCTTCAAAAAGGACGATTTGCTTTCTTTACGTACAGTACTGTACTTTTTTTTCAAAAAAAAACCTTGCTCCCTCTAGTGGTCATTCTTTAAAATAAAATAAAAATCTGCTTCCAGAGCATTGCCATGTCGAAAGATGTCGGACTTAGACAACTCAATGTCGCTTTTAGAGCATTTTCAAGTTTTAAGGGTGCAGAAGGCATTAGGGATGGGGACTCATTTTCGCTAACAGGGGGACTTCCCTGTTTTGACAGGAAAATCCCCAAGTCAGAGACGTTTGCCTAGGTTCAATAATCTGCCAGTTATACAAAAGCTAGGGAAGCATTTCGGCAAAGCGGCATTCAAAACGGGCTCACCAGACCTGGATTTTAGATCTCTGGCTGGAGACTCAGAGGTTGGGAGTTTGATTCCCCAACAGTGCATCTTCAGAGAGAAAAAGCCAGCCTGGGTAGCCTTGGGCCAGCTGCACAGTCCCAGGGCAACCCCCAGAAGAAAAGGTAAAGGTAAAGGTTCCCCTAGACAATTTTTGTCCAGTCGTGTTCGACTCTAGAGGACGGTGCTCATCCCCGTTTCCAAGCCATAGAGCCAGCATTTGTCTGAAGACAATCTTCCGTGGTCACATGGCCAGTGCAACTTAGACACGGAACGCCGTTACCTTCCCACCAAGGTGGTCCCTATTTATCTACTCGCATTTGCATGCTTTCAAACCACTAGGTTGGCGGGAGATGGGACAAGGGACGGGTGCTCACTCCGTCGCGTGGATTCAATCTTACGACTGCTTGGTCTTCTGACCCTGCAGCACAGGCTTCTGCGGTTTAGCCCACAGCGCCGCCACATCTCCTCACCCCCAGAAGAAAGGAATGGAAAAGTTTTTTAATGTATTTCCTATCTCAAAAACTCTACAAACAGTCGTCACAAGTCAGAACCAACTTGATGGCACAATGATACCTCCATACACATTTTCTTTTATTCCTATTTGGTAGAGACCTTCAATTTCATCACCTTCAACCAGCATGTAGAAGCCAAGATGGATTTGGGAGGCAGAAGAAGGCCATACCTGTGTGAGCAACGATGGATCCTTTTTAGAAGGATACACCCACCCGTTCCGGCACTTCTCAGTAACGTTAAGCCCGTGTCGTACGATGGTGTCGAGATCCCATTCCACTGGAGCGTACATGAAACATTCCTCAAAGGTCCCATCCACCTTTGTGGGGAGGGTGAGGTTCAGCCGTTCTTCTTCTGTCAGATTCAAGCCGAGGCTGATGAACCAATCGGTATTGCAATAGTGGAGTTCCTGAGCCACCATGAACAACTGACCGAACATATGAAAAGCAATGCTAACCGAGCTCAGGGTGACCCACACCAGCAACCAGTGCTGGAAGCGGCCAAATTCTCCGAGGGCTTTGATGATTTCACTGACGTCTGCCATTGTTGGTTTCTTTTCCCCCTTCCCTCTGTCTTTTCAATTTATCCCAACTGCCTTCATGCAATTAGCCCCTGTGATTAATGTTTACACTTACAATGAACTTTAACATGGTGCGAAGCAGTAAGAGACAAACATTCGCCCAGATTTTTGTAAACCCAGTCCGAACGTGACATTAAACAGGTTTGCACCTAGACTGTATAACCAACCCATTATTTTCCAGTCCTGGGTCCTGCATGGATAATTCCTCTTGTGCTCCAGGAGAGGAATTAAGCACATACACAGAGGACAAAAAGCAGTGAACACAGGATGGCCTCAAGATGATTTTCATTCCATCCAGTAACCTCTCCCTCTGCTTCCACTTAAAAGGAATGGCTACTGTCCGGTCATAGTTGAAGGAAGCCCAATATTGCTACCTGACTGTATGCAAAGGGACACGATCTGTTCTTGATGATCTCAAAGTGCAGGACATGTATCATAGTTGAAGGAAGCCCAATATTGCTACTTGACTGTATGCAAAGGGGACACGATCTGTTCTTGATGATCTGAAAGTGCAGGACATGTAATTAATGAGCTCAAGCGACAGGAATCCAGATTTAGGTTGAAGGAAAAACTTGTTAACTGCTAGAGCAGTACAATAACGGGACCAATGACCTCAAGAGGTGGTGGTGATTGCTTCAGTGCTGGAGGCCTTCAAGAGAAAATTGGACAAACCATCTATCAGATCTGCTTTGATTTGGATTCCTTCATTGAGCAGGGGTTGGACTTGATCGCCTTAAGAGGTCCCTTCCAAATCAATTATTCTATGATTAGAATAACCAGTGGAATAGCATTGACTGCCACTTCTCTCTCCCTGCTGCAGCTTGTATTAATTTATGGATCTAAATCTCTCTTAATAAATCATTTCTTGCAAGGAGCATGGTATTGCACACACCCCAACTTGGAGTTAGAAAACAAATCATCAGAAGCAATGCAGTTCATTGTAGCTCATTACTTTGGGTACTGAAAGTATAGCTAAAATACATTTCAAAAGTACAGTAACAGGTCATACAGTAACTTTTTTGAAGTGCAGAATTAACATTTCCTAGCTACTTTCAAAAGTGACTTTTAAAGAGAAGTTCTAAGGCATTTTGACAGGAATGTTTCAAGCTTTATGGAAATTTTTTGTCAATGTTGAGTGGAAAGGAAAGCATTTTTTTGTTTTGTCTTCTATTTTTGTTAAGCATTTTCAAGGCGCAACATCAGAACTAGACACTAGGGGGAAATGGGGTGTTTTCCTGCCTTATTCTGATATGCTAGATATATGTTAACAATACACAATTCAACTAGTTACATTATGATCCCAGAATGATGCCATTAACTTTCCAATACTCTAGCCTCCAGCTGTGTTGGGTTTTAACTCCTACTATGTTCAGCCAACAAGGCGGGTACCATACGAGAAAGATCACAGGTGAGAAACTGTTCTTCTTCATTTGAAAAACAACAGTGACCAAGGGGGCCATTTGCAGACAGGAAATTTTTAAATAACACAAAAGCTACTCCCTGAAAGCATTGGACATTTTTTATTGATTAAAAATTAGAGAAATACATGCAGTAAAATACAAAGTCAAAGAAAAAAAAAGGCTGAATATTTTACACCTTTCATTAAAATCTACAGTACAACAAAATTGTGTAGAAGTTCCTGTTATATTAATACACCATCATCATCCTTAAGAATATCAACTAAGTTTAAAAAAATACCAACTGATTTCTAGGTTCAAGTTCAGAATTTACCCAAAGTAAAGACCCTCTGATCCGTAAGGGTAAAAAAAAAATGTTAGAAATAATTTCTTAACGCCCCCCCCCAAAAAATAATTGGCACTTTTGAACCTCATGAACATAATAGCCTCCTAGCACATAAGAGTATCCCAAGCCAAAAAAACAAAAACGGGCTACCACTGAGATACAACTAATAGCAAAGGTAGTTGAAATCTAACAGCACAGGCAGCTGAGGATCATAAAAATAAGTAAATAAAGAGACAAGGAAAACAACAAGAGCATGGATACTCTTCTCTACCAGACCCGGTTTAGACAAGAAATGGGAATAAATAAATAGATACTGCATTGTTTTTATTGGATTAGTTTGTAATCCTACACCGGTGAGGAATACAACGAAGGGATGCACAGCATGCAGGGCAAAAGTGAAGTAATACTGTACCAGAATAATTTGGTTTCCGTGGCCAAAGATGGGAAGGGTAATTTGGATGGGGATGGGGGAAAACTCATTTCGTCTCCAAAGTGCCTCCCTGAACCCCCTCCACTATCTACCTCCCTGGGCTTCAGGCCATTCTTTCTCATCGCTCCAGAAGTTGGGCCCTTCCCGTGACAAGCTCCACCCACTTTTGTCTCATTTGCATCCAAGGGGGCAGGGCTTCATGCAAACTCCGCCCACAGGAGTGGAGTGACGGGACATCACAGGCTCCAAACGATGAAGTCCTGGCAAGCCGAAGCCGGCCAGAGTTCAAAAGGGAACACACCCATGATTGCCCAGGAGCCTCTGAGTGCCACTTCCGTCATCTGCACGGGGACAATGCCATCCTGGCCCACCTGATACAGTCATCCAAAGATGGGTTGCCAGTTCTACCCCCCCTCCTGCCCTGCCCATAAAGTGTTTCTGTTTAACTATTAGACGAACCTGGCCATTATGCGTCTTCTTTTTATTCTAATTTTGATTACAATTCTACAAACCCCCATAGCCAGCATCGTCGTCCCTGGCTAATTTTTTTCCTTCCCCCTCTACAGTTCTTTGGATGCTCAAGATTCTGGGGTTTGAGAGCCCCAAAAGATGAAGGTTTTCAAGCTGTTGTGTTGGTTATTTTTTTTTTTTAAGTTTAAACCTACTCCACTAGCTTCCATGAATTCACAGGGCGTTGCCTGTTCTCTTGCTAGTCAACAGGAACAAAGGAATTTTTTTCCCACTTTCAGAGGGGAAAAACTTCCA